CCACGGCCGGACCCCGGAGCCAGACGGGAAGGAGAGGACCAGGGAGGCTCTACCAACATGGCCCTGCACCCCGGGAGGAACAGGGAGCGGGTGAGCAGGGGCCACGGCTGGACCCCGGAGCCAGATGGGAAGGAGAAGAACGGGGAGGCCCCGCCAACATGGCCCTGCACCCCAGGAGGAACGGGGAGCGGGTGAGCAGGGGCCACGGCCGGACCCCGGAGCCAGGCGGGAAGGAGAGGACCAGGGAGGCCCCGCCAACATGGCCCTGCACCCCAGGAGGAACGGGGAGGGGGTGAGCAGGGACCATGGCAGGACCCTGGAGCCAGACGGGAAGAGGAGAGGAATGGGGAGACCCCGCCAACATGGTCCTGCACCCAGGGAGGAACAGGGAGGGGGGTCTGAGCTACTGGAATACCCTTCGACAGCCCCCTGGTTGGAAGCACATGGTCCAGACACCCCTCTGTGCTCTCCCCTCTGGAAGGTCCCCTTGAGAGGCACCCCTGCACACGCTTTTTCTGGCCCTCAAGGTCAATGGTGACCTCCAGACACAGAGTGAGGGAGGGAAACACAACAATCAAGGAGAACCAAAGGGCAGGGCCCGCCATGGGAATGCCTCTCTGGCCATGGACTCTGGGGCCAGCAACTGCTCAGAGAGAAACCCCATGCCAGGCTCTGTTACCCGGCCACAGGTAACTCACAGGCCGGGTCTGAAGGTCAACCAATGAAGAGGCAAACATGGGACACTGCCAGGCGTGACAAGTGCTGAGAATAAGTGAACAAGCCGTAGAAGGGACCAGAGACTGAGAGGGAAGCTCGTCAGACAGGGCGCGACAGGACGCCATGCTGGGGGGCAGAGAACCCCACGGAGGGAGGTTCCAACCCACCCGACACCTGGGGAAGGAGCCGTCAGTGCAGAGGCAGCCGGTGTAGCCGACCACAGGGCAACCCGTCTCCCTGCTCAGGACAGAGCCTGGGCTGGACCGCAGCAGGCAGCCCGCAGCCCACCACTTCAACTACTTCTGAGGCCCCGACGGACGAGCCTGCCGGGCCACGGCTAACCAAGCCAGAACTTGGTTGTGTCCACAGAACAGGCATCCGGGGGAACTCCTCATGCCATGGACACCCACGGCAAGCCTGCTGGACTCACTAACCTCTTACCTTTGTATGAACCCTAACTCCTGGGCACCCCACGTGTGCAGAGTAGAACTGCTCCGTGGGGTTTTCAGTGGCTGTGACCTTCGGAAGCAGATCACCAGGCCTGTGTCTCGAGGTGCCTCTGGGGGTGTGAACTGTCCACGCTATGCAGGGACCCACGGGCTCTTCAGGGGAGAGTTAACGTGACTCAGCGGGCCCTGACAGGGCCACCCTCAAACAGCGAAGTCGAAGGAAAGCAGGCCACCTGACCAAATAACCGCACTAATGTGGGATGGGAGGGGGACTCAAAACAGCCCCCTGGCAAGCCCAGGGCTTCTTAGCTGTACCACGAAGGCCAAGGGAGGGGCTGCGGGAGGCAGAGAAAGGCACTTGAGGCTGGCCTCCTTACTTGTGTGAGACCACGGTGGGGGGCAGCTGCCTGTGGTCCCCAGCCAGGATGCACTTCCTGGCCTTCAGCAGGGCGATCCAGCAGCTCGCTTCCAGGGCCTGGGCGCACTCGTCGATGACCACCACGTCAAAGTAGCTCTCGGGCAGCAGCTTCAAAGGGCCATCGGGAGAGGCACCTGGTCGAAACGGGCGCCCAGTGTTCACAGGGGCTCTGGCTTCTCACAGCACTACACACGGGTGATCCAAACCTCAGTCAAAGGCAGAGACTGTCCAACCGGATAAAAATGCAAGGCCCAACCACATCCTATGCACAAAAAGCCACTTTACCTGTGAAGGTGAAAAGATAGGCCCCACTAACCTAGTCAAGAGAAAGCTGGAGAGCTTACCATATTTTTCACATGCAATGCACCCACGTAAATAACACATACACGCAGCACTCACAGGAAGCTCACACGAGGGGGCTGCATGGTTTGCAAAACCGTGTAACTCATTATGTTCTATTTGCATAAGAACATGGTATTATAATATCAGACAAAGTAGATTAAAAAAATTACCAGAGATGATGAAGGTCATTTCATAACGATAAATCAGTTAACTAACCAGGAACACATAAGTCAAACTTTACACCCCTAATAACTGAGCTTCACAAAACAGGACACAGAAACATCAGGACTACAGGGAGAAAGAGACAAGGTGTGGCTGCAGTGGCCGACTGCAACGGCCCACCCAGTAAGGGACAGAGAGACAGAAAGTCAGGATGGATGACAGACCTGGAGATACCGTCAGACACCGTGACCCGCCTGACACGCACAGCGTGCTCCACGTGCCAAACTTAAGAGAAACCAGCCTCCCAAAAAAAATTAAACAGAACAGAAGGCACCGGACGTTCTTCTCAAGTGGACCTGGGAAGTTTACGCAGACAGACCGCCTTCCAGACCGTGAGGAGGTCGCAGCGAGTGACTCAACCCACATAAAGTACGTCCTGACAACAACGACATTTAATCTGAGATCAGCCACCAAGAGATCTAACAGGTCCCCCGCACAGAGACCAAGGAGCACTTCCCAACAGCCCGAGTCAGAGGAGAGAGCACGAGGGGTCAGAAGGGTTCTGGAGCGAGAACAACGTGCTAGGAAACGTGGGACGCCACCCGAGTAGCACGTCAGGGACATGACAGCACCAAAGGCCTGTGTTGGAAAAGAGGGGAGGGTCCCAGCGCAATGACCTCGGCTTCCAGCCTAAGACATTAACACCAGAGGTGGAAATCGGACCCAAGTAAGAAAAAAAAAAACCAAGGAGGAAGGAAGGAAGGCAGCAGAAGAGCAACGAAACCAGAACCAGGTTCTTTGAGAAAATCAGTAAATGACGGCTCCAGCCACAGTCATCCGGGAGAAACGAGGGGGTCCACATGAGGAACGCGGGAGGGGGCGTGATCGCAGAGGCGACAGAGCTGGGAGGACAGCAGGGAGCGCTGCCAACAGCTCCACGCCCATCAACTGACAAGGCACGTACAACGGACAAACTCTGTGAAGACAGACGGTCGCTCCAGAAGACAGGACTTGACGAGCAGAGGGGCAACAGAGGCGGCCGAGAGGCTGCGGAAAGGAAGCCAACGGCACGAGCGACACGCACAGACACTGCTGGGCAGAGACCTGACGGCTGCGTAAGCTTCACCAAAAACACGATACGTTATTTTAAAAAAGAGGGAGGACTTGGGTATCGACAGCTCTCGAGGAAACTGAACACGTAGCTAAACCTTCCCGAGGAGGGACCCCCGGCCCAGAAGGCCCCACTGGTGGACTGTACCCAACACTCGGGAAGCGGGTAACACGAAGGGCGCGGACACTCCCGACTGGCTCTCAGGCCCGACGGAGGCCCGGGCCGCTCACCGGTGTTGGTGGCGAGGACCACGTGGGCCGACGTGAGGCTCTCGAGCATGGCGGCTTCCTCCCGCTCCCTCAGCTCCTTCCTCAACTGCCTGATCTCGTTTCGAAGATGACTCCTCTCGCCCTTCTCCTGGGCCTTCTTGTTCTTCATCTGCAAAGGGAAGCAGAAAACGTTGAACTGGCCCAACACCACCTGGCACGTCTTTAGTTCTCCTTCATTTACAGGGGGCTTTTGTGTACAGGCCGTTGGTCCAGTTCAGGAGGTCCCTGTCGTTGTGAGGTGCTGTCGAGTCGTCTCCGACTCAGTGACCCCACGCCCAGCAGAACCAAACACTGCCCAGTCCCGTGCCAGGCCCACGATCCTTGCTGTACCTGAGCCCACAGCTGCAGCCACTGCGTCAGCCCATCTCGTTGAGGGCCTTCCCCTTTTCTGCCGACCCTCCACTTTACCAAGCACGACATCCTTCTCCGGGAACGGTCCCTTCTGACAACATGACTAACGTGGGTGAGACAAAGCCTGGCCGTTCTCGCTGCCAAGGAACGTGCCGGCCGCACTTCCTCCGGGACGGACCCGTTCTCCGGGGCCAAGGAGCGTGCCAGCCGCACTTCCTCCGGGACGGACCCGTTCTCCGGGGCCAAGGAGCGTGCCAGCCGCACTTCCTCCGGGACGGACCCGTTCTCCGGGGCCAAGGAGCGTGCCGGCCGCACTTCCTCCGGGACGGACCTGTTCTCCGGCAGCCCCTGGACTTCAGCGAATCTTCTCCAGCACCACAGCCCCAAAGCATCAGCTCTGGTCTTCGTCATTCAGTGCCCAGCTTTCGCAGGCATATGAGGCGACTGAAAACACCATGGCTTGGGTTAGGCGCACCTTAGTCTTCAAGGAGACGTCTTTGCCCTTCAGCACTTGGAAGAGGTCTTTTGCAGATTTGCCTGGAGGCTCCTGAGGCAGCCCCAAGAGGCCCAGACTTCTCCTGTGCAGACACGTGACGGAGCCCCGACACCCCACCTGCCATACAAACCAAAACCCGAAGCAGACCATGGGTGGTGACTTGACTCTGCCTCCCAGTGACCTCAGGGGTGCAGACAGACCTGTGTCCCCCTCCCAGTGACCTCAGGGATGCGGGCAGACCTGTGACCCCTCCCAGTGACCTCAGGGGTGCGGCTAGCACTGTGACCCCTCCCAGTGACCTCAGGGGTGCAGGCTAGCACTGTGTCCTGCCTCCCAGTGACCTCAGGGCTGCGGGTAGACCTGTGACCCCTCCCAGTGACCTCAGGGGTGCGGGTAGACCTGTGTCCCACGGGGTCTCTAAGCTGTGACCCTACAGAAGCAGACCGTGAGGCCTCTCCTCAGGTGTCAACCTTTCCGTCAGACACCGAGCGCCTGGTTTTGCGCCACCCGGGACTCCTCGCTTGCTGTATGAGGAGGCCCCGTAGGAAACGTCTGAGCCCTAGAGACAACGGCTCAGTCAACCACGAACTCCCGAGGGACCAGTACCCCGGCCAGCCCTGCAGTCTCACGTGCTGGGGGCAGGAGAGCTCCCACCGTCTCGGGTCTGGGTTTCAGCAGCTGGGTGTCAGGCAGAGGCTACACTCAACTCGGAGTCCACATTTGACAAGAGATTTAAAGAAACGATTTCAGCCCATAAAACGCTCACCCAAACCCAATCACCTCCTATGTATGCTGGACAATGAATAAGGCAGACAGTAGAAGAACCGATGCCTTAGCACTGTGGTGCTGGCGAAGAATACTGAAAATACCACGGACGGCCAGGGTACAAACAAATCTGTCCTGGAAGAAGGCCAGCCAGAACGCTCCTTAGAAGCAGCATGGCCAGGCTTTGTCTCATGTGGTCTGGTCATGGTGTCAGAAGGGCCCAGTCTCTGGAGGAGGACAGCGTGCTCTGTAAAGCAGAGGGTCAGGGAGAAAGGGAAGGCCCTCAACGACACGGACTGACGGCAGCTGCAGCCGTGGGCTCGAGCACAGCCATGACGGTGCGGCTGGCCAGGGCCGGGCCGCGTTTGGGTCTGTGCCACGTGGGGTTGCTGGGGGCTGGAGCTGCCTCAGCAGCACCTAAGAACAACAAAGGCAACTTACGCACCTTAATTTCTCAGAAAGACCTGCAACCTTTTCCTTATTTGTCATGGCGGCTCTGGAGACAGGGTTTGGGCAGGGACAGGACATGATATGTGGCACCACGTTTTCTTGTCGTGAATTTGCAGAGAAGTCTCAAAAAGCAACGGTTTGAATAGGAGCAAGACAATGAAGTTGCCCCAAGACAACGCACCCTCCCCGCGCCGTGAAGGGGCGAGTCACCTCACGGCAGTTCCCCACACCGCCTTCAGTCGAGAAAGACGTGTGTCCTATCTCCCACCTCCAGAACGTGCGGACTGTCCCCACCACGGCACCAACACGCCACTGGCACCAGAGCAGCCGCCCTGCTACAGGCCCCAGGAAGGCACCGGCGCCCAGCTCCCTGCCCTGCCGCATCTCTTGTCCAAAGCAAGGCAGGCTCATGAGAGGTGGCTGATGGGATGCAGAATGACGGGCCAAGTAATCAGAGTAAACCAGAGAGGCAAAGGCCTTGATGCCTGATAGAAACGGGGCGTCTCCCTCTGGACCCCCACCTACTGGCCCCCAGTACAGGTGCTCGCTTCCACAGCAGAGCATAAAACAGGCAAAGAGGATGCCCCAAGGGTGTGTGCACACTGAACTTTCATTTGTCGGCTGTCTCTGTTCACCCTCCTTGCAATGATCTAGACGGTCTGCCTGGTTACAGGGGCCACAGGGAGGCACCGAGGGACATGTCTTTGGAATGATCCCTTGCCTGCTGACGGACTGACCTGAGGACCTGGGTGCCTGCACAATGCCAAGGACACGTGTCTATCAAAACCGGGCAGGGCCAGAATCTCACACTCTCAGGGACTGCAGACTTTCCGGAGTCATGCAGGCTGGATAACTACTGCCCTGAGATCAACTTAAACCTTACACCAAACATCTCCCCTCAAGGCTTCTTAAAACCAAACAACAAAAATAAATACACAAATACAAATCTAAAAGGAAAAAAACAGTTGAGCTGAACTAGTAAAGAATGCCCTGAACATGCAGTCGTTTAAGATCAGGGTCAAGGGGACACAAGCAACTCGAAAGGTCAGATGGAAACCTCAGGGGCGGTCAGTGTATGTTAGCGGGGAGGGACAGCTGGGAAAAGGGGTGAGGACGGCTGATGGCTGATGGCTTGAGGACTGTCACCAGCATCACTGTACAAGTAGACACTGTTCAACTGGTGTACGTTCTGTGTATAGTTTCAACAACAAAAATAAACTACAAAAAAATTAATGATTAATAACATTTCATGATTAGTGCTAAAAAAAAAAAAAAGAAGTCCTAATTCTTGAAATTATCAGATGAACAGACAGAGCAGGAGAAAACAGAGGACTCTGGACAGACAGACAGACCCCTTAAAGACAGCCAAAATCAACTGGGTGCTACGAAAGGACACCTACAGAGAGCTCGTCGATGTCCCTCCTGACGTCTGCAACGATGTGGGCGCTGTCGCTCCGCGCCAACACCGCATCCAGGGAGTGCTGCTGGATGGAGTCGAGCAGGCGGGCCGGGTGGCCCAGGCGCAGGACCTTCTGCTCACAGCGGGCCAGGCGCTCCACCAGGTTGTCCACGGCGACGTTCGAGGGGGCGCAGCACAGGACCTGCAGAGAGAACGCAAACTTCAGAGTGGGCTCTGGTCTTTTATGATGGCATACACACGTGCACAGAGCCCAGGTGGCTGCTAACCAAAAGACCGACTGTTCAAACCCCACAGCCAGTCTGCAGGAGAGAGAAGAGGCAGTCTGCTTCTGTGAAGATTGACAGCCTTGGAGACCCGGTGGGCAGTTCCACTCTGTCCTCTAGGGGCGCTGTGGGTGGGAATGGACTCCACGGCAGTGGGTGTGGTTTGGGCTTTGCTTCCATGAAGATTGACAGCTCAGGAAACCCTGTGGGGCAGTTCCACTCTGTCCTCTATGATTCCAATCCACTCAATACCAATAGGTTTGATTTTTTTATACGTGTATGTGGATGCCTATATACGTGTTGTACGTGCCTGCTAACCAGAAGGCTGACGGTTCAAACCCACCAGCCACTCCTGGGAAGGAAGGTGGGGCAATCTACTTCCCTAGTGATACTGCCTCGGAAACCCAAGGAGGGGTCGCTATGAGTCAGGTCCGACTCGAGGGCACATAACAACAACAACAGCCTATTTTTCTAAAGGACATCTTAGTGTGTTTTTGGTGAAGATTTACACCAGTGTTCAGTGAAACGGTCACATACTTCACTCTTTCTGTTCTGGTTGTACCATCCTCGTTGGTCTAGTGTCCCTGCCCCTCCCCTTCTCCTCTTCGATTTAGGGTCATTGCTAACAGTCCGGTGTCATGGAAGTGGTTTTTCAAGGAGACTAGCAATCACTGATGTTCTTTGTGTTGTCAGCCAATCTGTTATTTGGCTACAAGGTGACCTTAGGGGCTAGTTTTGGTTCAAAGCTTACAGTTTCTCAGGACAGTAGTCCTGGGGAGTCTTCCAGTCTCAACCGTCCAGTGAGTCTGTTTCCTTTTCCTAGGACTCTGAGGCTCTGCTCTGCTCCACCGTTTCCTCCCAGGGCCCCTCTATGCTGGCCTGGTCACTTATACCCTATCTTTGTATCTTAATCAAACTATTAAAACCAACCAAAAGCCTGAGAGATAACAAAAGCAGGGCTGACTATGCATAGCAGTCATTTCAACATGTAAATGTGAAGCTTTAAAGATGAATAAAAACACCCTGAAGAACACAGCTGGGTGTAAACCGACACAGCCTGTGGTCCTGGCAATCTGCGTCCTAAGAATGTGCTGGTCCCCAAGCACCAATAGGCCTAAGCAACTTGTGGGTGGAAGGAAGGGACTGGGGGCTAAGTGTGCCCTGAAATCATCAGGGGTGGAGCCCTTGCCACATCACCCACCCAGTTATCCTCTCACCTGACAGAGTCACAAAGGGGACATCTTTCTGAACAGGCTCAAGTCTGCTTCTGGAACCTTTGAAAAAGGTGGCAGGTGGCGGGGGAGGCAGAGAGGAGAGCCCAGGGAGGGGCGGCAGCTGCCACCCCCATGGCCTCCAGCCCCCTGGGCACAGCCAGAGGCGGCAGCACATGCCTCCTGTTTCGCCGTTTCTCCAAACAGAGCAGCCAAGCCACCCAGTCCTGCCTGACACCAAGTCACCTTTCCTTACCAGCTTCCAAATGCCTCTGCCAGCCAAGACCCACACGGGCAGGAAAACCAGTGCTCACTGTTCTCTCTCCCTACCGCTGCTGTCTGCGATGCGACAGAGCCCACCCGCCGAGGACAACGTGTGGCTCACGCAGCCTCACCATCCGCCCCTCCACAGCTGCAGCATGCCAACCCCGGGTCAGCTCTGAGAGGCAGCACAAGGTGAGATACTGGGCAGGGGGTCTGCTGGGACATCAGCCGCGTTCTCACCCAGGCCTGCTGCTGCTGCTCAGAGCCTGGGGACCCCGACCCCGCTGTTCAGCTCCTCTGCCTGCGCCCCGCTGCCAGGGCGTCTGGGGGGAGCAGGGGGAGTGCAGGGGAAGTACCTCAAGTGCCCACTTCATACAAAGCACTCGGCCAACATGCCAACATGGGTGGTGACCATCACTGCTCCAGTCCTCGTCATTATCCAATACCCCATAAACCCAAAGGACCCGTGCAAGCCTTCGAGGTGCGCAGAGCCGTGATGACTCAGGCAGACGGGTGAGGCTAAGAGGCCCCTCCTCACCCACCCAACAAGGACGCAAGCACCTAACACACACTGTGGGTCCCTTCATCCAGAGCAGACCAGACGGAGGGCAAAGAAGCCCAGGGGAAACCGGTGCACGGGGCCACGGGTCCCCAAGCCATGGCCTCGCCCACCCACAGACCACAAGAACCGAGGCCAGCCACCGCCCACTCGCAGACCACATGAACCGGGGCCTGCCACCGCCCACCCGCAGACCACATGAACCGGGGCCTGCCACCGCCCACCCGCAGACCACATGAACCGGGGCCTGCCACCGCCCACCCGCAGACCACATGAACCGGGGCCTGCCACCGCCCACCCGCAGACCACATGAACCGGGGCCTGCCACCGCCCACCCGCAGACCACATGAACCGGGGCCTGCCACCGCCCACCCGCAGACCACATGAACCGGGGCCTGCCACCACTACCGACCGTTCTGGTCAGGGGCACAACAGATAGTTCCGATACAGCAGAAGAAAACCTGAAAAGGACTCAAATTCCTCAATTAAAAAAACCTCACTAGACCTGTTTAGACTGGAGGACTCCCCAGAGCTGCTGCCCTGGGATACTCTTCAAACTCTGAACCTAAACTAACCCAAGGTCCTCTTGTAGTGAAATAACCATCCGGCCCACAACACAGAGACATCACCTGGAGTCCTGGTCTCTTTAGAAACCACCTACCTGACACCAGACGGTCAGCAGTGACCCTAGAACAAAGAGGAGGAGGGAACGGGCAGGGACACTAGACCAACGAGGACGGTACAACCAGAAGGGACAGAGTGAGAGTGTTTATGCACTGTGAAGAGTGACCAGAGCCACAGAACAGCTCGTGCAGAAACTGCTGAAAGGGAACCTCACCTGGGGTATAAACGTTACTGAAAATACCATACAAAAAAAAAACGTAAACAGCAACACACAATGTTACACGTCAAAAAACCAGGGATCAGTGACTGCACGCAGCCTTGTAGCCTCGTACCACTAACCAGGGATCAGTGACTGTGCATGGCCTCATAGCACTAACCAGCCTACCTGCCTAACCAGCCTACCTGCCTAACCAGGCCACCTGCCTAACCACACCACCTGCCTAACCAGCCTACCTGCCTAACCAGCCTACCTGCCTAACCAGGCCACCTGTCTAACCACGCCACCTGCCTAACCAGCCTACCTGCCTAACCAGGCCACCTGCCTAACTATGATCTACCCATCTGTCCCAACCTGACTCTGGGCTCTGGGAGGCAGATGCGGCCATGGTCGCACCAGCCCCAGCCCGGGCCGGAGCCCCGAGCCCAGCACGTCGGATAAGCAGACGCATCCCAGCCCGAGGCCCAGTCCACAACTAAGGCTGCCTCTGCCAGGACCAGCAGGAGCCTTTCCCGCGGCCCAGACGGATGGCCCCTGCGCGTAAAGACAAGAGCAGGGCCTGCTGGCTCCCCCAGGGAAGGACCCAGCCCAGCACCCATCAGCAAGTGTACACTGCACTGTTCTGACCCACACAGGGTCACCATGAGCCAGAGTCGACTCACTGACAGCTGGTTCCCTGGGGGACCAACTGGCCCTGCTTGCTTAGGACCCAGAGGTGCTGAAGCCAGCAGGGAAGGCCCGGGCAAGCTGAGATGGCTGCTCAGCCCCAGGGGACGTGCTGTGAATCCCGTACAGGCTCCCCTTCCAGTGCCGCCCGGCACAACAGCCCACCTTGCAGGCGAGTCCGTTTCTCTCCCCACCCCTGCTGCCGGAGACGTCCATGGTCTCCAGTCCTGCATTTCGTGAGTACGCTGTATAAACCTCTTCGTGAATAAAAGCTGTCCCTAAACCAATACAGCAAGTGCTCAGTGGATGCCTGACCAGCTGCAGGGGATGAGGCTGGGGCCCGGCTCAGCGCCCGCTGGGCACAATCACCTGCAGACGCACGCCCTGCCCACCTTTGAGCCCTGCTTCACAGCCTGAAGGATTATCTCCACCACGGTGGTGGTCTTCCCGGTGCCAGGGGGCCCATGGATGATGGCGAGCTCCCTCTGGGCCAGCGCGAACGACACCGCTTCCTTCTGGGAGGCGTCCAGGGAGCTGTTGTAGAAGGTCAGCGGGCCTGGAGAAGAAGGGACAGTGGTGAGGCCCGGCTCTCTCCCCTTCCTGCCCCACCTTCCGCTCAACTTTACACTGAAGATGAGAGACACATGCAACGACCACCTCCCTCCAGGAAAATCCAATCGACACAAAGTAAACCTGCTTTGATTTCAAACTACTCCTGGACCAGGCATCAGCAACCTAAGGCCCTCGGGTCAAATCCAACCCTGTTGTTGTAAATAAAGCTTTACTGGCACACGGTCACAGCCACTCACGGACATGCTGTCCATGGCTGCATTCCGCTACAACAGTGGAGTCGGAAAGGAGGCTGTATGGCTTGTACGGCCAAGAGCATTTACCGTGGGTCCCTTCACAGAGAACGGCGGCCGACTCACACTCTAGAATGGCAGGCTTTCCTGGGGTGAATCTTTCCTGGAACCTACTAGTTTCTACCACAGTCCCTTCTTTAAGTGTCCAAAAGTGACAAATGACACCATACAGCGATGACAGCTCCCAGGATCATGGTTTTAGTTTAAGGCTCCCACGATGAGACTGATTAGTGTCTTCCGCTCCGTGTCCTGAGATCAGGGACCGCTGTGTTCCGCTGTATCCCCAGGCCCTGGCACACGGGGACGCTCGGAGAACCAGCCCAGAGGCCCCTCACCTCACCGGGCTTTGCGGATAACTCATTTCTACAGACGGAAGTTCCATGGCAGCCTTGCGTCCGGCACATCATTTGGTGCCATTCTCCCAACTGCAGGTGCTCCCTCCTGTCTCGCGGCCCCGCTGTGGTCATGCTCGCAGGATTTCAAACGTTTTCATCATGCTATCACACACCCACAGGCCACCGTGGCGTGTCACGTGGTTTCCCATGCACTGGGAAACCAGATCTGCGTGCCTCGCCTGACTGCGGTATTTGCTTGATCGCGGTGGCCTGGAACCGAACCTGTAGGATCTCCCAGGTCTGTCTGGAGCAAGACTGAGTCACCCTGTGAGACGGTCACAGAGATGCACCCGTGAGACAGTCACAAAGTGCCATGTGGGCCCCACGATGGCCCATCTGCTCTGGAGTCCTTTCCAATGTCCACTCCAGCGCCCCTCACCACGTTCCTCTCTCGAGCAAACAGCTGTAACTAAACAGACTGTGTTTCCTAACACAGAGTCAGTAAATTTCTAACTCTGTGTCTACGCGTAGGAGCCCTTGCCTTAGCTCTCTAGTGCTGCTATAATAGCCATACCACAGACGGATGGCTTTCACAAACAGAAGTTGACTCTCTCACAGTCCAGGAGGCTGAAGTCAAATTCAGGGCGCCAGCATTAGCAGAAGGCTTGTGGCTCTTTTTAGCGTCTGTTCCTCAGTTCCTGGGGCTCTTCCTGTGGCGGGAATCGCCCCCACCTGTGCCCCCACCTGCGCCTAGGCTGCTTCTTTCCTGCCTCAAAGATGATTCGGCTCAGGACACACCCTACAGGGACGTGGCCTCTGTAACATGAGAGAGACCCTACTCCCGAAAGGATGGCACCACAGCTACAGGATTTACAAGACTTTTCTGAGGGACACAATTCATCCATAACGTGCCTCAAAAAATATTTGCTGGACAAAAAAAAAATGCACAGTTATCCCATGAGACTTGAAAATTGCCAAAGGTAAACACCAAAGGAAAATCACACTTAACCAAATGGTGTGTCATGAAGATCAAAAGCCAACAATGCTCTACAAGTCAGTCCTGCATCTAAAGCCAACACGCACACAGTGTGATATGAAACGGGGAGGGCTAACCTTTGTACGACCAAAGTCACCGCTGCAAAAACCGTCCAAGTCCAGCAGCCCCGGGACTGGCCACGTTGGACCAGACACCAGGTCATCTTTAAGGCACTGGAGGACGTAAGGAAGCGCAGAGTAGTGAAAAAGCCAGGAGTGGGGTATGCGTGCGTGCGCATGTGTGTGCGTGACGGACGGGCACAACACAACGAGAAGAACGTACCCCGGACGGCAGCGGGCTACTCTGGATGGCACATGGCAGACAGAAAACGAAACGGGGCAGTCTGGCCTTCTTGGAAATAGAGTTTTCTTCTTCCTACGTACCAGTGCAGGGTGAGCCCCAAACCCACCCAGGTCTGAGAGGTATCCATCAACCGAGCAAAGAGACACAGAGACACACCCGGGGGCACACCAAGTAAGGGCTCATCCACAAACAGAAGAGACACAGAGACACACCTGGGGACACACCATGTAAGGGCTC